GTGCCTATCTAGAGACAACCAGACCCTTCAAGTGCTGCTTCACACCCCCATCAGCCTCCCAACCACACACCATCGAGAGACTTTACCTTGTGTAGTCCATAATTGTGTTGAGCCTGTGTGCAATGGTCAGCACTGTGCAGTCCTCAAACTGGGTCCGAATTGTCATCTGGATGAGATCATCCGTCTCCAGGTCGATCGCTGCGGTCGCTTCGTCCAGGATCAGGATCCTGGTCTTGCGCAGGAGTGCCCTGGCCAGGCAGACGAGCTGTCTTTGGCCAACACTGCAAGCACAGAGAGGCTGTCACCACCAAGGCCCTGCTGCCAACAGGTCCCCACTGCTCACAATCACTCCTGCTGGAGCAGGTTACTCATCATGTAAGGTTACCCCAAAACCCCCAAAATATTTAGCAAGCAGCCTAGTCTGTCAGCCCTAGAGCTAACACATACAGGTTGCAGCATGCCAACACTGAGTGCTGTGTTCATGTACTGCCTGACCCAGTGCTGGCAGAGCCACCAAATTCCCCTTTTAGCCCTGTGACAAAAGCCAGGGCAACTACTGATGACAGTGCTCTATCCTAAGCTTTCAGAAACACAGTTCTAACAACACTGAACACATGCAAACTAGGGGAAAATATAGAAAAAAATAATAAAAAGGAAAAAAAAGTGTTATGAGGCTGCAAGTCCTTTCTACCATAAAAACCCCACAACATATACATACACCTGGGCAGCCCAGACCTCCTCCCCTGCCACAAACACACCCCTGACAGAGCCTCTGAGTGTCTCTGCAGGATGAGGAAGGAGCTGAACATTCATCACAGACATAATCTGGTGACACCACAGCCTCAGAAGCCAATGAAGCATATCAAAACACAGCATTTTACCATCCCCAGTCATGTCTTCATGGGTCTTCCAAATATAAAGTAAATTATACATTGCTAAATTGTCAGTTAGGCAGAGGACTCTTCATACACAACTGTGAACAGCTGTATATGTCATCATGGCATTTCTTAGCAAACCATGTTTAAGGGACTGCCTATCCCTAATACCCTGTCATCCTGAGACTTTTCTTTACTGGTAAGATGGGATTTTGATTTGGGAGAAATCCTTCCCCAGAAGCAAAGAAGAATCAGATCATTTGTGGCAGAGGC